ATATATATATATATATATATATATATATATATATATATATATATATAAGTGATAGAGCTGTCTCATCCATAGTGACAATTTGGCAACATTTTAGAAACAATATGTAGTGATCATGGCAATTTCCCTGTAAACACACTTTGGAATTCAAGTAACATTTAAAATGTACAAAACCCTGCAGATCAATTTCTTATTTTGTCCTTATCACTCAAAATTCATTGCCACCATATTGATTATCTGACATTACAATAAACATTACACAGAGTAAGGTTTGAGGCCTGGAGAAGCTGCTGTGGATGCTAACTCACACTCTGAGGCAGAGTGGACTTTCGAATTCAATGCCTATACTCTTCTTTACAGCCCACCTGATCAAGAAACTTTTGTGGCTACTACAATGTTTAGAATAATGCTTTGATTTTTGTGGCCCATGGTGGAGCCAACCAGCAAACAAGATTGTTGTTTTGCAGCTCTGTGAAAATCACTGTCATATTTTAAGAAACTGAAAGCTTAAATACACTGAACTTAGAAAGAGTTGTGAGTACATCAACTTCTCATAGCAACATATAAAATAACCAGAAAAAAAAAAAAAAAACATGGCAAGGATAATAATACTTTAAAAAGAACCAAATGATTCATGTAGTCAGCAATTGGCTGCCTACATAAATCTCATTTGATTTATTTTGTGATTCATTGAAAGCAAAGAGCTTTATAGGGATAACTACTAACTCAGCAACTCAAATGTTATTAAAAGAGAGTTTTGAGAATTTAATTATAAGTTTTTATTGGGAAGAGCATAAATTACTCAAATTATTTATTTTCTAGTACTAAATATTTTCCATAGTGCTATAGGATGTTAACTCTTTGAAAACTAATATATAACATATTGAAAATGTATTATGTATAATTACAGTACTGACCAAGTATATAATTCATGAAAAAAAATCTGCATGTATCTAGGCATATTTGCAAATAGTATTTGAATTAGAATACATCAAAATGAGAAAACAGTTATCTATGATGTGCAGATATAGTAAGAAGCATAATTTTCTAGTTCATATTCATAATATTAAGAGCTTATTATATACTTACTCAGTGTAGCAAGCTTAGCCTTTTGGAAAGAATCTAAAATTGGAGATCCTTGTTTAATAGTAAACAATATTAGTAAATCACACAGCCATTCTACACAATGCAATAGGATCCACAGTTAAATAAGAATTCAAAGCCAAGTCCACAGCTGTAACTATGGAGTGTCTGATTGTAAGATAATTAAAGTGTCATATTAAATCTTACCCTTTGGCAGTCCTGGAGTGAGGAGAGTGAGTGGCACAGATTGAGGGTTCCCTCTGTTCTCTCACTCACTTATTCTCTTGCTCCTGCTGGCTATAAACCCTTCTTTGCCTTTTAACAGCCAATCACTGTCACAGCCAAGGTGATGTCAGAATGTGGATTCTCACCAGAAAACCCCGAAACTTCAACACATTTTTAAGATACAGGCTCAGTTGAATAAACATGAAACGTGGGTCTAGTGCCAAGAGGTTTGCATTGTGGAATTTAATTGAAGGTTAAGATGAAGATGAATAGCTTGAGTTCCGAATATATATAATAATACACTGGATTTGAATTAAAATAAATAGCACAAGCTTTTAACCATTTAAAGATTTCATGATGACACAAGTTTTCACTATGTTGAAATAAAGGAAAACTTACTAACAACACATGCAATCCTGCATTAGCTAAAAAAGAAAAGTAACCAAAAAAGAACAAGGGAAAGGATTTAATGGACAATAATATTTTAATATGAATTATTTTATATTTCTTCCTGGAATATACTTCAGTGACTCATAAATTAAAATTGATGCAATTAAATCAGTCAGACTTTATAAGATACAGTGGCTTTGCTAAAACACAATGCTGAGTATAAAGTGAGAACTTTTGAGGATCATTTTAATCTTTTTTTTTTAAGAGAGAGGGAGAGAGGGAGAGAGAGAGAGAGAGAGAGAGAGAGAGAGAGAATTTTAATATTTATTTTTTAGTTTTCGGCGGACACAACATCTTTGTTTGTATGTGGTGCTGAGGATCGAACCCTGGCCTCATGCATGCCAGGCAAGCGCGCTACCACTTGAGCCACATCCCCAGCCCTCATTTTAATCTTTTGTAAATAAACTTTTTTAAATCATCCTTTTAGGTAGCCACTTCCTGTCGTGCAAATTAAGTCACCTCATTTTATTTTCTGGGGCTTTATATATCTTTTTCTGCTCATATTCATATTTAATGTCTTTTCCTATCAGTATGGAGTGATTTGTTGTTATTGAAATTGTTTATGAAAACTGAATTCACAATAAATGGCTTGATAGATCAAAGTACATTTTTTTTAAGTTTGCAAAAGAAAAACTAGCTTAGTAGTTTGCATGTTCTATTTAATTAATCATTTATTTTTCCTACATCCACAACTGGAAGTTTTATTTAGTCTACTTCATAATATTAGAGAAAACAAAAATTAATTAATGTTATCATTAAATTTATGCCATTCACCCCGTTGTATTCTTTGGATGGCTTATCCAAAGAAAGTATTTCAGCAAAGTTATTTGGAAAGTATAGAGCCCTAAAAACAAAAGTCAGATAGGCCATTTCAATTCAACTCAACCCCATAAATTTAGTTCAATTGATCAGTCCTGGAATTATTGCGCTTTCCATTGATCCAGCCTGTGTCATAGGATATAGCAAGTCAAATTAAAAAAAAAAAAAAAAAACTGGTCCTTATCTTTAAAAATTTTTACAGTTTTGTAGGGAGAAAAACATACATAAGATTCAGAACTAAAATATCTACAAGGCTCAGGGGTACTAAGTACAGGAGTTTAATTCTGACTGTAGAGTAATTGGGCACAGTCCTTAAATGAGAATGGGAATATATTAGGTTATCAAAAGGGAAGAGGAGGGGTTCGTGGGGAGGACTCAAAGGATATGAACATGTAATACCACCATTTCGTGGTTATCTAGTGCTTATATGCTAGGTCTTCCCTTGCACTCTTTCACTTATTCCTCACCCAAAGAAAACAATTCTATGAGATTATTCCCATTATATAGGTGAGGTAAGTGAGGCCAAGTGATGGTAAGTATACCTTGGATTGCACTGCTAGTGAATGGGGTAACCCAAAGATTAATGCTAAGTCTTTCTAAGGATATGTACAATCACTACATATCCTTGCTGACACATTCAGATAATTTCAGTAATACAATAAGGCTGAAACATAGTGAGTGGAAGTAGTGACACAAGATTGGTTAGATAGGCAAAGTCAGATGATAGAGAGAACTGTAGGTTATACTGAGTAGGATGGCCTCCATCCTGGAAATTGAAACACCAAAGGGTTAAAGCAGAAAATTACATATTCATATTTGCAGTTTCCAAAATCTTTTGATGATAAGGCAAAGGGGGTTGAAGAAAGCAAGCATGTTACACAGGAGAGGCTATGTCAGAGTTGAAAAGGCTATGTACTGGTCCAGGGAAGCAGTGATAAAGGTTTGAACTCAGTCAGTTGTGCTGGCATGGAGAAGAGGAAACAAATAAGAAAGAGATTATATAAATAAAATCAGTAGGACTTGACAGAATTAGGAGACGTGGAGAAGCCTAGGATGACTTGTGGATTTCTGGTTTGGATTATGTTGTGATTGGTGGGACTGAATCTTATGAAATGCCTACTAGAGTACCCGCTATGGTATAGTCACTCAGCCAGCTATTGATGACAGTGATATAGTGATATAACAAAAGGAGTAGAGACTGAGAATCAAAAGACTAGAGTTTTATTCTTGACTCTCCCACTAACTTGTTTCTACCACTTAACCAATTAGAAACTTGAATTTTAACTCATCTTTTAAAAATGAGAATGTTTTAACCAAAATTCAAAAAATTGCCACAGCTGCCATTGTGACCAGGCATTATATGCCTCCATCACCCATAGAGCGTTTTGGCCAAATAATTGAGCTTAAATTTGATCAAGCCTTTATATCTTCCAGATCATAAGAAATACAGATATTAAAAAACAAGTAAAATGACACCATTGGGATGCATTCAGAAAAACCCAGAATATAGGAAATTGTTAGACACACTGCCTGGTTTTTTTTTTTTTTTTTTTCAATAAAATAACAGGAAAAATAAAATAGATGGAAAGGGAAACTATAAATT